CACACAAAGACAATGCATCCTTTGCACACATACACAGAAACAGACAATGCAAACCCGTACACACGCATGCAAACACACACACTTCTTTTCTTATATACACACAGAAACACAATGCATCTCATGCACACACATACAGACACACACACCTTGCATCCCTTATGCATACAAACACAGATTCACACAATCAGAAACACATAATACATCCTTTATACACAAATACACACTGCTTCCACTACACACCAACACACTGCATCACCTGCACAAACTGGTAACCCTAAACACTACATACCATAAGCACACATATTAGATCCTCTACAATAACACATAACACATCCCCTACACACTCCACTCCCTGTGAGTGAACTCATGGGTGGGTAGAACTTATGAGTGGGCCTTATGGGCATACTCACCGTCAGGCCCTGGGGCCCAGACCTTGAGCTGTGTAAGGGGCCCCAAAAAAATGGAGCTGCTTCCAATTCTCCCAGAACATTGAATTTTGTGACCACAGTTGCAAACAGCCTCCAGAGATCCTGTTCTACACCAGACCAGTGGAGCCAAACTGCAGCCCATCATCATCCTCATCTGCTTGTAAGTAGGCAATCTAGTATATTATTAGTGACACTAATCTATAATGTACCTCACATTAAAGGGACACTATAGCTTAATGAAGTGGTTCTGGTGTCTATAGCTGGTCCCTGCAGGCTTTTTAATGTAAACACACACTGTGTGCAGCACTGGCATTAGTTCATATGGCAGATCATATGGGTGGGGCATTGTGATGTGACATGTGGAGGCAGCAAATTTTTATTTTGTCTAGGGCGGCAAAAATCCTTGCACCGGCTCTGATCCTGGGCAGGTGCACCAGTCTACTTGACTGGTTTTGCCCCCCAGGCCTAAGGCTGCCAGCCCTCCCCTGGCCGCTGGGGAGGTCTTTTGGCGGCCGCTGGCGGACTTGTCCTGGCGGCCGCTGAGGGAGCTGCGCGAGCTGCGCTGGCTTGCTCCCCAGCACGCAGCTAAATGAGACCGTCGCCGGAATATGACGTCATATTCCGGCGCCAGTCTTATTCAGCAGCGCGCGAGGGCGGGAGGGCACTAACACAGGAAGCACCTCTAGTGACCGTCTGAGTGACTGTCACTAGCAGTGTCACTTTGAAGCAATGTAAACACTGCCTTTTGTCTGAAAAGTCAGTGTTTACGTTGAAAAGCCTGTAGGGACATGCTATAGACACCAGTACCACCACATTAAGCTGTGTGTGTGCGTCTGCTAGTGAGTGAGCTTGCTTGCATGCGTGTGCCTGCTAGTGAGTGAGCTTGTGTTTTTATGTCAATGAGCTGATGTATATCAGTAAGATTGTTTGTCTATGAGGCTGTGTATCAATGAGCTTGTGTGTGTCACTGAAATGTCAGTGAAATTGCCTGTGTCTGCATGTGCGTATGCTTACTGTATAATTAAACGTTTTACCCTGAAAGGACCAATATTTTATATTAGAAAAAGCAATATATATATATATATATATATATATATATATATATATATATTTATTACTCAATCATCTGTCCTGGCAAGACATAGCCTTACATATTACACGCGACAATATATGGCGCAGTGACTTATGGGGCTGGCACAAATTTTTTTTCCATGGCTGCTTTGTATCCCCAGTCCGGCCCTGTCTCATTTACTTGGCACCAAAAGGCCTTCTTTTATACAGGTTTTCCCTACATAGGACCACCCACAGGGTTTTACAGAACAACCAATAACATTACAGAAAACACTCCCAGCAATTATACACAAAATCCTCCCCTCTGCCTGTGATCTAATTATGGTACACAATAGGTTAACATAATTATCACAAGCAGGAAAAATACAGTTTTTATACATGTACTGTAACTTTAAAACCACACATCCAATCTACATAAAAAAACACACATATTCTTAATCAGCATACTTGAAATATGAACATACTCAAAAATCATGCAGATCCTTTCATTAGTTCAAAAGTTAGTCGGAAGTCCTTTGTGACTGACTGCAGGCACATTTTCCTGCCCAAAACAGTTCCATAGATTTGGGCTGTGCGGTCAGTCAATTTCACACTGAAAAAATGACTAAGTCCCATTCGAACGTGCATTCAAATCTTCGAACAGGACTCTGTGGCTGAAAACAGTGCAGGAGAAGGTAAAGGTCAGCGGTGTTTGTTGAAATGTGTAGCCGATTTCAGTTCCATGGATTTGGCTACACATACCGCTGACCTCGTTCGAATGAGCAAAGATGGCCGCCGTCATGTGTTCGTTTGTCGAATGGAGGCCACTTTGACTACTTCGACAACTTCGACTGCATCCGAAGTGCCAGTTTAAAAGTACAAATCCTTTCTTTGGGCATTAAAGGGCCAGAAACAGCAATATAAGCCTCCAGTATGCCCACATCAGTTCCTAGAAGGCAATACATCCCAGGGCCATAGTCGCAGGGCAGGAGGCAGGCAAGCAGGCCTCTCCAGGACAAAGTGGCGAAGGGCACTTTGTCACAGCGGCCTTTATTTATGATGTGGCAGATTGTCAAGTTATCTGAAAAGCATTGTATCGGTTTCTCTGCCTATGAATGGCCCCACATCACTGCTGCTGCTACTATGGGATACACCTGAAACATTCCTCTAGAATTACCACAGTTATCTAAGTAACATATGGAGCGATCAAAGGATACATAACAGATTTAATGAGCTTTTCGTAGTTTCACAGTCAGGGCAGCAGTCCGGTGACCGGGACCCAGTATGCCTGATGTTGAAGTTAGGAGTCACAGTGTGGAATGGATTAGCAGGGTCTGGTGCAGGGTAACTGCACGCCCCCTGGTGTTGAGCACCAGCGTTTGTGCGGCCACATACCAAGACCCTGATGCAGCTTCAGCGAGCAGCAGGAGGCGATAGTGGAGTTTCAGCTGCAGCATGCACGGGTAAGTTGCTCTGCACCAGGCTTTCCCTCCAATTGATCCAAGTTAAAGGATTTAAAGTGGACTCATTACAATTGCAGGGCCTCGAAAGAGTAGTGTATTTGTCGTCACTACGTCCCCGTGTCGGGAGTGGGTAATTTGCGCGCCTGCTGTCTTCCTTGCATGTGGTAGCCGTTTCTCAGGCTCCTTCGCTGGAATTGAACCCTGATTCCCCGTTACCCATGGTCACCATGGTAGGCGCGGAAAATTGCATGGAAAGTTGTTAGGGCAGACATCCGAATGTGTCGTTGCCGTCATGGGGACCTGCGATCGGCATGAAGTTATCACAGACAAGCACAGCCGCCTGTCCAACGTGGACAAGCTCATGTTTATTAAAATGAACCAGGCGTGGATCCCACCAGACTTGTCTGTACCTTGTGCAGAATAGACATTTATACCGGCCTCACCCAGCCATTGTTGTGCACCTATTCTTTTTTTTTTTTTTTATATGTCCCAATATTTTGGGGGCTACCCCAATTAAAAAAAAAATAAAATTAATAAAAAAAACAGTGTTGGCTACCTTCTCCACTTCCGCCGCTTCCACCTATGCCGCCACTGTGTATACCCAGATATATCAGAGCTGCTGCAGAAAGTGTGTGTTGTCTGTGCGCGTTTTTGGAGTCCTCATCCTGCTGCTGCTCGCCTGTCTGCACTACAGCGTAACATCGGCCTTCCCGCTCACCGCCTCATATGCAACGTGCCCACAAGGTGGAACTCCACCTTGCACATGCTGGAGAGACGGTGCGAGCAGCAGCAGGCGATAGCGTAGTTTCAGCTGCAGCACGCACGGGTCAGTCGCTCTGTGAAACAGCACCACTTCACCAACAATGAGTGGGCCTCCATGCAAGACCTGTGTGCCATGTTGTGCTGTTTCAAGGACACCAACATGGCCAGTGCCATTCTCAGCCTTACTATCCCGCTTCTATGCCTCTTTGAAAAAATGCTTTGGGCGATGATGGAAGAGGATTTGGCGGAGGAGGAAGAGGGGTCATTTCCCCGGTTATCAGGCCAGCCATTCACAAGTGGCTCGGAGGGATGAATGCCAGCATTTCAAAATTCCTGGCCTTTGAAATGCTGTCATTCCGTCTGGTGGAGACAGACAGTGTAAAAAACCTGATGGCGTTATTGGACTGCAAGAAATGCACCGCAGGCCGCAAATGTTTTTTTTTTTTTATATGTCCCAATATTTTGGGAGCTACCCCAATAAAAAAATAAAAAAACACAAATAAAAAACAGTGTTGGCTACCTCCTCCTCCTCCACCGCCACTTCCACCTACACCGCCACAGTCATCGCCTCCTCAACCTATGGGTCACTTAGTATAAACTATATACACAATAGCAGAGGCTTGTGAAGGCCTTTGCTATTGTGTATATGGAGTTGAGCTCAGTTTGAACAATGAAAACGAATACCTTGCACCCCAACCCTCTCTCAAATGGTTAATTCTGGTGATCCTCCTGACAGCCATGCTTTAGATTTTGATTTATGTTCTTCCAAAGCTAAAATCAAAGATTCCATCTAGTGCTATTTTATGGCTCATCTGTATTTTTTATTTTTATGTATTTTATGTTATTTTAAGTGATTTCCCTATCCACATTTGTTTGCAGAGCACTTGTCCTACCCCCATTTTACTTCCTTTTGCAGCCCTCTAGCCCTTTTCAGGACTTTTTTAGAGGCATTTTAGTGCCCAAAAGGTCGAGTCCCCATTGACTTCAATGGGGTCCGGGTTCGGGGTCAAGTTTGAGCCCGAACCTGGACTTTTTTCCGAAGTTCGGCCGAACCCGATTATCCAGGTGTCTGCTCAACTCTAATAGTGAGTTAAATAGACAACCAAATGTAACCAAGGAAAATGATAACCCCTCATACTGAAAGACGGCACAAGCCTCCTTCAGGGAACCTTTAAGATTTCAAGAAACCACAATAATTATATAGCATACTAAGGTTACAGTAATTGCTTATTTGATAATGTATGTAACAATGCTACCTGGTGGTGATATACTGCTCTGTAACCTGGTAACCAGTTGTACAGTCTTGAACCCTGTGTACACTTATGCTCCCGATAACCGAGATTGCTGTAATAGACATGATTTAAGAAGTGCGTAACTGTTACCCAATGCATGTACCAGTTAGTAGGAACAAAACATTTGTGAGCTCTGATTAGTTTTATGAATCACGAAAAGCAGACCTGGAGATCAAAACTGGCTGAGCGTGAAGAGAGTGGCACTCCTCTCGATGTGCTAGACTCTGCCCACCTGAAGGAAAGAGGCAGGCAGAGCGTGAACAGTAAAACACGCCTGCTTTGATCAGACCGGATAGAAGCCGATGTCTTGTTCAGGGAGCATAACCCGGCTTTGTAGCGACTGACGGCCATAAAACCAGCCCCTAACATTTATTGATAACCGTGCCGGATGTGGCATGTGATCGGGGGGAGAAACCGGTATGTGGCAATACCATATGTTTTGTACTAAGAAAATAATGTTTTAATACTCTCTATACCTGGCATCATGATTTTACCATCCCAAGCGAGGACTAAAGAATCCTAGGTGGGTAATATACCACCAACGCCCTATTCATCGAGCAGTAAGCCTGCTCAAAGAAATGTGAGTACATCTCATCTAGATATATTTATCTTTATAATTATGTGATACGTGAGCACTATATTTGCTATTTTTCTTCTTTCCCTGTCTGGAATTGCTAACATTGGAAATATTTGGAGAAATTATCTACCACACATATCCTAGGAGTGGGGATAATTCCACTTCACGCTATATATGCCAGAGCTGGACATAGCTCTGGTAAATGTGAGTAGAATAAAACCCATACAGCACTATATACATACCTCATTATATAATGTACCATTGGAGTCTCTCTTCTTACATAGTTACATAGCTGAAAAGAGACTTGCGTCCATCAAGTTCAGCCTTCCTCACATTTGTTTTTTGCTGTTGATCCAAAAGAAGGCAAAAAACCCAGTTTGAAGCACAATTTTGCAACAAGCTAGGAAAAAAAAAAATCCTTCTTGATCCCAGAATGGAAGTCAGATTTATCCTTGGATCAAGCAGTTATTACCCTACATTGAAAGATTATATCCTTAGCTGTTTGAACATCTGTATGGACTCTGATAAAACCACTTCTTCAGGCAGAAAATTCCACATCCTGATTGTTTTTACAGTAAAAAAAACCTTTCCTTTGCCTTAGACAAAATCTTCTTTCTTCCAGTCTCTAGACCTTGTGTCCTATGTAAAGTCTGGTTTGTGAATAGATTTCCACACAATGGTTTGTATTGGCCCCGAATAAATTTGTTTAATGTTATCACATCCCCTCTCAGACAACGTTTTTCTAAACTAAATAGGTTTAAATTTGTTAACCTTTCTTCATAGCTGATATGTTCCATTCCTTTTATTAATTTTGTAGCCTGCCTCTGCACTTTTTCTAGTGCCATAATATCCTTCTTTAGAACAGGTGTCCAAAATTGCACAGCATATTCAATATGTGGTCTTACCAGTAATTTATAAAGAGGCAAAATGATATTCTTGTCCTGAGAATAAATGACTGTTTCCATGCATGACAATACCTTACTGGCCTTGGGCACTGCTGATTGACTTTCCGTGTGTTGTTATCCCTAATTCGCTTCCATTAAGGGTATACATTGCTTGTGTATTCTTTACGCCAAAGTGCATAACTTTGCATTTTTCAACATTAAATTCCATCTGCCATTTGAGTGCCCAGTCCCCCAGTCTATCTGCAGCAAAGTAATATCTTGCTCACATTGTATTATTTTACAAAGTTTTGTGTCATCTGCAAACACTGAAACATGACTTTCAATGTTGTCTTCAAGATCATTTATAAACATGTTAAATAGAAGGGGTCCCAGAACAGACCCCTGAGGGACACCACTTGCCACCTCTGTCCAGCTTGAAAATTTACCATTAATGACAACTCTTTGTACTCTGTTTTTAAGCCAATGTTCTACCCAAGAACAAGCATTTTCATCTAGACCGATTTCCTTGAGTTTCAACACTAATCTATTGTGTGGAACTGTATCAAATGCCTTGGCAAAATCCAAATAGATCACATCCACTGCAACACCCTGATATATACTTCTACTTACTTCTTCGTAGAACGCAATCAAGTTAGTTTGACATGACTTGTGCTTCATAAAACCGTGCTGATTTTTGCTGATAACCATGTTCTTCTCAAGGAATTCTTGAATATTATCCCTTAATAACCTTTCAAATATTTTACCAGCCACAGAAATTAAGCTCACAGTTCTATAATTTCTTATGTCTTGTATGTACTTTTGGAACTACAAGAACCAAACTGTCAAGAATGTCTGGTTTTATCAAGCTTGGTTGTTCTTTTAATTATGTTTTTTACTTTTTTATTTACTTTTTTATTTGCATTTTATATATTTTATTGGGTATTTTATCTTTGTTATTATTTCAGAATATTCCAATTTTTATAAAGCACAGCCTTACTCCTTTGAAGTTCTCTCTTAGTAAATTGTGGGGTATCAAGAAGGAACCCCTCTGATTCTAAGGTGTGCTGCCTTCTAATATAAAACCTATTTTTTTGTAACTTTACTTGCAGAATGCATCCGTCCGCCTTGCAAATTCAAAGCAAATTTTGAATGTAAGGTGAATGCAGCTGAAATGAAAAAACAAAACAAAAAAAAAACTGACCTCCACCAGCTATGCTTTCAGTTCTGCTTTTTTGGCCTTACATTTGATGTCCACGTGTACGTCACTTTGAATTATCCCTTTTCCTGAGTAATGCTGTTAAAATATGTTCGGGAGGAAGAAGTCAGTTATTTTTAATATCTTCAACTTGGTTAAAAACACTACCTGAAAATTAGGGATGTGCATGGGCAAAAATATTGGTTCGGTTCGGACTTCCGAAATTCGGCACTTCCGAAATTTGGTTTGGTTCAGCAATTCCGAAATTCGGGACTTCAGCTCTTCAGTAATCCGGGACTACTGGAATTTGGGACTTCGGCAGTTCCCTACCCCTAACCCTACCCTTACGCTAATCCTACCCCAACCTTAGCCTACCCTAGCCCTACCCCTAACCCTACAGTACCCTAATCCTAAGCCTACCCCAACCCTAGCCCTAACCCTACTCTAACCCCAACTATAGCCCTAACCCTACCCCAACCCAAAACCTAACTAACCCTAGCCCTAACCATACCCTACCCTAACATTAACCCCAGCACTAACTCTAACCCTAGCCCTAACCCTAGTATGGGGTAGGGTTAGGTTTAGGGCTAGGGTTAGATTCCTGTCATCATTCCCTTAATTTTCCCTCCCTCTACTGTTTTGCCACTTTTCAGAAATCCGAAGCACTTCAGCACTTTTGGTTTGGTTCGTCACTTCCAAAATTTGACACTTCTGAAATTCGGACATTCATAAGCATCTGAATGTCTGAATTCCCGAAATTCGTCCGAATTCAAATTTGGGGAGAAACTAATTTCACATGTCTACAAAAATTATCTCCCACAGTGTATAAACCTTTATGTACTCATGAATACATAGTAACATTGAGTATATGTGCCTAAAAATATTATGTATTAATATAATAATCAATTTCAACACATAAGCGCAAGACTTAGGTAACGGATTCCACATTTGTAAAGAGTGGTGGATAATAGGATTTTCTTTTTGTATGGTGTGTCTGATAGGTTTGTGTGTTCTAAATAGAATGCAAATTTCCTCATGTGGGAGCTTGGATTATGCCTTATCTTCATGTGGGACCATGTCTTTTGGAACAAATAGGTCCAGAGTTTGGAATAATGGGTTAATTTGCACGAATGAGGCATTGAATTGTGTTCTTCTGCTGAATATGGATGAGCAGTGACCTATTAATATATTTTTAAATATTAACAATTTTGAAGTAATTTCCTGCAACTCTTTAATGTTGTTTACACAATATCTTTACAGATTTCGTCTTTCTCCTAACATGGAGCCTTCCAGCACTGTGGTGTCTTTGGAATGGTTGGATGTCCAGTTGGCTGTTGGAACCAAAGTTTCAGACTATATACTGCACCACAAAAAAATAGATGCATATACAGACACAGAGTTATACACAGGCAAGTAGAACTTTGGCAATTGTGTCATCTAAAGGGCCTCTTTAAAGGGCTTTCCCTCAAAACCATTTCATCTTAATCTTTTTTTTGAGGGACAGAGGCTATTTTAACTTAAAAGGACAAACTGTTTGAGAATAGTTTAAAACCTAAGATGCTCCTTGTGGCACTTGTCCCCACTCTCTGCGTTTTCACTCTTTTTTTTCTGGTACAGTACTAATTAGAGTAGGGAAATATTGAGTCGTTTATGGTACCAGTAATTGTCTGAGAGCATCAGCTTATGCTATGAGTCTATTACTGGCCACTGATTGTGAGTACAATATGTACTTTGTGGCTGAGCAGATAAATAACAGAATAGCCAGAAATGTTATATCGATTTAAGATTCCATTTACTTTTATTATGTATTAAGATTGAACATTAAAGAGTTTGCTATGGTTTCAGCTAAAGATTGTTGTTGTTTTTTTGTTTGTTTTTTTAAAGTTATTTTATTTAAATTTGCATTGCATATCTGATCACCTTGGCTGCCCTTACCTACCAAGCGCATACCATAAATATTAACATAAACCCTATGATGCTACCCTCCGTATAACGAGACTCGTCCCACCTTTGACAAAAAGCAATGCTGATTTCTACCACAATAGATTATAATCTGTGTCAAACCTCCACGATCACTAACGTCCGAGATTCTTCCAACCGCTCACATCTCACAAAGAGTATGCCAGATTCTATGGAACATAAAAATACCATGAGACTCTAAGGGTCAAAGTCCTTACCGTGTAAGGACTGGGACAAACAATATGGGACAACAGACCTGACCATACAAATGAAAGTCTGAACTTTCCTAGCGCTGAGCGAGACATAATTCATGGCTGATCGCTATGCAAAAGATATCAATGAAAACATGGATCAGGTTGTATTAATATTTAATTGCTTATATTTTAAACGCTTATATTCTGTGTTCCAAAGGTAGCTGTTAAACAATGTGTCCCAATGTATAAATGTTACTTTAACAACTAATGCCCACATCCAAGGTATCCATATACACTCTTGTAGTTATCCAAGAGTAAATTACTTACAGGAAATCCAGCTCTTCTTAGCAATAAGATTTTGTTATTCAACCCAAAATAATGCTCAACCCCATGTTGTTACTCCATCTACTCACCCGTCACCACTATATATATCCTTTCCTACCCTCTTCCCCCCCTCCCCTCTTTGTCCCTCCCCCACGCGTATCTCTCCCCTTTGCCCTAGCCTCTTTCATCTTGCCTATAACAAACAATAATTAGTAACTCAGACTCTCCTAACGATGCAGCCTAACTAAATAGGATTCAATACCCGGGTCCCGCGCAATACCACATACCCCCAAGTAAATTAGGGTTCTATCTTCATCGAAGAGATAGAGCACTTCTTCACGAGATAGACTCCAAAAATGTATCTATCTCCTAAATATCCTTATATCCCCAAACAATCAATACCTCCAGAAAATACCACAAGTAATTATTAAGGTACAAAAGAGCCCCAAACATCCACTAATCCAACCAATTGAGCTGTATAAATCAGGGCACAAACTCTGGGTTTGCTAGAAAACTCTGAATACTGCTGGGGTATCTATATATTGTTACATATTGTAATTGTTTTATGGTTAATGTATATTGTTTGTTATTACTTCCTCATGCAAACAAGGTTACACACCAACCAATCTTCACAAACCCTCTTCATAGGTAGCAAACACCCCAAAAAACTCTGGTCTCCTTATCACAAGAACAGGAACATACATACAGTAAACTCCTAAAGAAATTTTAACCTAATCTTTAATCTCCACACAACAAGATCTCACAATCAGTGCTTTAACAGATACAAAAGACTATCAACCCTACCAATTCTTGCAAGGCACTGTAAAAAGAAACACAAACAGTACACAAGCAAGACAAGAAGCCTAGACAAACCTCGTAGAACCATTGGTGGCCACATAATTCTACTACACACAAAGTAATACCCAAATAACTCAACAAACGATGACTCTACAAAATAGTCTCAACATGACATCTATTAAAATCCACACACAAAACGCAAAAGGCCTAAACACACCTGAAAAGAGAACAATGGCATTTGCGGACTTTCGCAGATATAAAGCAGAGATAGTCTTCATACAGGTGACTTACTTCCGCAAAGATTCAGCCCCTACACTAAAAAATAGAGACTATCCAACGGGATATTTTAGACATTACACTGAAGCAAAAGCAGGAGGGGTTGCAATTCTGATATTGAATCAAGTACCATTCACGTTTCAGGCCCAACAATCTGATGACTCAGGTAGATATTTATTTGTAAAAGGGAAATTAGGAAATGTAATAATAATGTTGGCTAACATATATCTTCCTAACAAAAAACAGAACCAAGCCCTGACGAAAATCTTACAAAAATTTAAGAGTTATTTTGAATAAATATGCAAATGCTTTAGAAACACGCTACATGAAGCTCAATTATATAATAGCTGGAGGGCATTACATCCTACGAGTAAAGACTACTCATTTTTCTCCCCCCCACAGGCATATACTCCTGCATTGATATGATCTTCCTCCAGCATAGATACCTAATCAAAACAGCCTCACACGGACCGATTTCTTGGTCAGATCATGGCCCTTTAACAATAGATTTAAATATCCTGGCCCTGCCAACCTCAACAACTCATTGGAAACTAAATAATCTCTTACTGAACAACAAAGAAACCATTGAACACATCTCAGCCACTGCCAGGAACTACTTTTAAAAATACACACCACCTGAAACTTCCCCCGCCTTAGCCTGGGAAGCCCATAAAGCCGTCCGTAGAGGAGAACTAATTTGGATAGCCACCACTACAAAATGCAAAAGGGAACAATTAGTGTTGCAACTTACCAAAGACATCAAAACACTTGAAAATAAACATCACCATAAAATGTATTTAGAGACCTACACAATCTTATTAGTCAAACGGTCAGAACTAAAAACAACACTCCAACTCCACGCCAAACGTAAACTAAAACTCACTAAACATTCTTACTACACCAAAGGGGGAAAAGCAGGTAAATTATTGGCGAAGGCACTCCAGCAAGACAAACAGACCACATTTATCTCTGAAATTGGACAGGCAGATGGCTCCTTAACCCACCAAATGCCAGATATAATTAAAGGACCACTATAGTGCCAGGAAAACATACTCGTTTTCCTGGCACTATAGTGCCCTGAGGGTGCCCCCACCCTCAGGGACCCCCTCCCGCCCGGCTCTGGAAGGGGGAAAGGGGTAAAAACTTACCTTTTTCCAGCGCTGGGCGGAGAGCTCTCCTCTCTCCTCCTCCGCTCCTCCTAGGCTGAATGCGCACGCGCGGCAAGAGCTGCGCGCGCATTCAGCCCGTCGCATAGGAAAGCATTTACAATGCTTTCCTATGGACGCTTGCGTGCTCTCACTGTGAAAATCACAGTGAGAAGCACGCAAGCGCCTCTAGTGGCTGTCAATAAGACAGCCACTAGAGGCTTTGGGGGAAGGCTTAACCCATTAATAAACATAGCAGTTTCTCTGAAACTGCTATGTTTATTAAAAAATGGGTTAACCCTAGCTGGACCTGGCACTCAGACCACTTCATTAAGCTGAAGTGGTCTGGGTGCCTAGAGTGGTCCTTTAAGGCATTTCATGGTTTCTACACACACCTCTACAATCTCAAACATGTACCACCGGCCACTGAGGACATACCAAACTTCCTTAAACCTAGAATTAAGAACATGCTTCCACCCAACTAAACTAATTTCCTTGACGACCCAATCACGATAGCAGAATTCCTACAAACTGTCAAGACTATCCCAATAGGTAAAAGTCTTTGTGCAGAACCCTTCATAAATGCATTTAACACGCAAAGATTGGCTGCCTCTTTCCCCAAATCGGCCCTAGAGGCAACTATCGCCCTGATCCAGAAGCCGGGAAAGGATCCCTCTCAATGTGGTAGTTACAGGCCCATCTCACTAATTAATATAGAGCTTAAAATTCTAACAAAAATCATGGCCATCAAACTAAAACCTTTACTACCAAAGCTCATACACCAGGACCAAGCTGGTTTCGTCCCAGGACTGGAAGCAAAAAAACAACACGACAAAAACAATAAACCTGATGTACTGGGCACAAGAACACAAACTACAAAGCGCCTTACTAGCTATTGATGCTGAAAAGGCCTTCGATAGGGTGAATTGGGCACTAATAAAACACACAATGCAACACTTGGGCTTTGGGCCACGATGGCAGGAATGGATTGCAGCAATATACGCGTCGCCTACAGCCTGACTGCGCATAAACGGCCAATTGTCTCAACCAGTAAACATAACGAACGATACCAGACAGTGATACCCACTCTCACCCCTTTTATTCATTCTGGTCCTGGAACTGTTTCTTCAAGGGATCAGAGACAACCAGAACATTCAAGGTTTTCAGATCAAACTACAGGAATTCAAGATCACAGCCTTTGCAGACAATCTTCCATTCACGATTTCGAACGCATTATCCACAATCCCACACATACTAACAGAAATGGATAAATATAGTACAATTTCCAATTTTCAGGCCGACCTTACTAAGTGCGAACTCCTACCCCTATACACAACGCAGTCGTTAGATGACCAACTTTGTTGTCATTAATGGTAAATTATTATCCTGGACAAAAGTGGTAAGTGGTGTCCCTCAGGGTTCTGTTTTGGGACCGCTTCTATTTAACATATTTATAAATTATCTTGAAATGGGCATTGAAAGCCATGTATCAGTGTTTGCAGATGACAAAAGTTTGTAAAGTAATAAAATGTGAGCAGGATATTGCCTTGCTGCAGAGGGATTTGGATAGATTGGGGGACTGGGCACTAAAATGGCAGATGAAATTTAACGTAGAGAAATGCAAAGTTATGCACTTTGGGGTTAAGAATGTACAAGCAATTTACACCCTAAATAGTAGTGAACTAGGGATAACCACACACAAAAGGGATTTGGGAATTGTTATAGACAACAAATTAGGCAGTAATATGCAATGTCAATCTGCCGTTGCTAAGGCCAGTAAGGTTTTGTCATGTATAAATAGGGGCATAAATTCTCAAGATGAAAATATAATTTTGCCTCTTTATAAATCGCTGGTAAGACCACACCTTGAATATGCTGTGCAATTTTGGGGACCTGTTCTAAAGAAAGATATCATGGCACTAGAAAAAGTGCTGAGACAAGCTACAAAATTGATAAAAGGAATGGAGCATTTTAGTTATGAAGAAAGGTTAAAATATTTAAATCTTTTTAGTTTGGAAAAATGGTGCGTTAGAGGGGATATGATAACATTATACAAATATATTCGGGGCCAGTACAACCATTATCTGGAAATCTATTCATAAGCAGGGCTATACATAGGACACAAGGTCACACATTTAGGCTTGAAGAAAGGAGATTTTATCTAAGGCAAAGAAAAGTTTTGGGTTTTTTACAGTAAGAGCAATAAGGATATGGAATTCTTTGCCTGAAGGGGTGGTTTTGTTAGAGTCTATGCAGATGTTTAAACTGCAATTGGATAAATACTTGCAAAAACATAACATACAGATGTTATGATATAATTTCTAATTAGTGGGGTAATAGCTGCTTGATCCAAGGAAACATCTGACTGCTATTTTCGGGTCAAGAAGGAATTTTTTCCTAGTTTGTTGCAAAATTGGAAGCGCTTCAGACTGGGTTTTTTGCCTTCTTTTGGAACAGCAGCAAAAACATATGTGAGGAAGGCTGAACTTGATGGGTGCAAGTCTCTTTTCAGTTATGAAACTATGTAACTAAAAAAAAAAAAATTCACGTCATGTGGGCTAATAAATCTATGAAATATCTGGGAATACACCTCGTTGTACAACATCAATTTTCTGCCACTCCTTGCGTCCATTCACAAGGATCTAAAAGCATGGAATAGACTCTGCTTTGGATGGCTATGTAAAATTAACATAGTGAAAATAAACATACTCCCACGTATCCTATACCTCCTCCAGACTCTACCCATTGTATTACCCCAAAGCTTCTTCTCCACAATTAAAACAAACATCACGAACTTCATCTGGTCATGCTCACGTCCAAGAATAGCTCATGCAGTACTAACACAGGAAAAAATATTGAACCTACCAGACATCGACAGATACCATAAAGCTATACACCTGACTAGGAACTGTGAGTGGACCACAAACACACAACTATACCACTGGGTACAAATTGAAAATGCAATCTCTGAGATTTTATTAAAACCAGTTCCATGGCTTCCACTAGATCTCCCACACATATACTGAAATAAAAATCCAACAATTAGGGCAACACTTAAGGTCTGGCACACACTATCCCAAAAAACGAACATATCACCTTACCCATCCCCACTATACCTACTCACACATAATCCGCTATTTCTAGAAGGACGTACCGGGAGGAATTACCGGTATTATAAAGACACAACAGAATTATGTCTTATGGACATGATACAAGACCACAAACTTAAATATCTCACTCAACTCTTACCTAACATGGTCCTAACGGGCAATCATTATTTGCATCATAGACAACTAACTCACTTCATCAACTCCCAGTCACTCCTACCCAAGGGAGACAGGGACCTGATCAAGTTTGAAATATCATGCAGCTCCCATCCCCTAAAGAAAAAGATACTCTCCACCATGTATAAATTAATCCAAGACATACAGGACTCAACACTCCCAAATTTCACAACCAAATAATGGGCATACGAACTCCAGATAGATATATATATATCAACAACACTGGAAATCTATATTCACCACATCTCACAAGGCTACCAAATCAACTATAGGCCATAGAGCAATTACAAGCGAATTTCCCAATGGCACGTCACACCAGAGAGAATCCATAAAATATATGACACTCCAAATGACACTTGTTGGAGATGTAACCAGTCTGGCGCACACCATTCACATATTTGGTGGCAATGTCCATTAATTCCAAAATTTTGGAAAATAATACACAATCTCATTCAATCTATAACCAGGGTATATATCCCGCTCACACCAGAGCACTTTCTATTCCTGCTGCCCCCTGCCTGTTCTCAAAAAATCAGTTAGAATATTGATCACCCATCGGATAATGGCAGCGACACAACTAATACCCAAATACTGGAAACAAAGCAACCCTCCCTCTATAAGAGAATGGATGTTAAGAATTGAGGACATTAAACAGTTAGAAGAAATATCTTATGCTGTCACATACAAATTCGGGTATTTCTCCCAAATCTGGGAACCATGGAACAATTTCATAAAAACTCAGCAAATCCATGCCAATGACACTTGAGAAATCTAGTCAGAGCATAAAAACAACTACATAAAATGTCCCTTTAATACACTAAAGTCAACAACTACTTCCAAATGCCTAATGTAACTAGCGATTAATATCATACTTCCCAATATAACTGTGTACTACCTATGCAACTTGCTGTAACCTTGTACTTTACTTTACATTTATTATTACATGATAACACTTTGTATTATATCAGTGCTGTATAAAGATGACATCTAACTGTTGTATGCTATAACACTGTGTTTGTAAAAAGAGAAAACAATCAAAATTTAAATAAAAATAAAAAAAAACCCTATGATGCTATACATCTGGTCATATACACGCATACAGCTCTAGGGAATAAATGTCTGAATAAGTATGCGAGAATGGGAGATTGTCAGGATTACAGTATGATCCAGCACGTAGAATTGTGTAACACGGAGGGCTGATAGGTAACGTATACCGGATCTTAGAATGGCCAGAATAGCGTACCAAAGAATAGTCAGGAATAGCCAAGGTCAAGGGATACAAAAAGAGACACAACAATAAGGAAAAGCCAGGGGTCAGGGATGCCAAAAAACAGGGAAGTCAAAAACAATGCCAAAGTCAAATAACCAGATTACTAGAATCAATAACACGCTCTCGGACAACCACAAGGGAAACCATGACAGGGCACTAAGCAGGATGAGAACTGGGCCTAAATACCCCTCCTCTGGATCTGATAAGCTGTAATCGGCCTTTGACCCAAAAGGCAGTTACCAGGTTCCCATTTGCATAATTGCTGCTCAGCACAAACCCTCCCGTTGATTCAATCGCTGCTCGACACAACTTTTCCTGTCAGGACAGTAATGTTGTTCGGCACAACTTTTCCTGTCTGAACAGTAAATTCCACTAATCACATTTTTATAAGCGGATGAATATGTGACATAGATGAAGTAGTAACATAGGTACATAGTAACATTTAAAATTATTTTCTTTATGCTGCTAATCCTTAATGTCTTGACTCTTAATGACAATCAGATTTCTTCTTGATCAATAACTTTTTCACATATGTATTAATGATATCCTGGAATATTATGTTTTTGGAAAACAATAAAATCCAGGCCTCTCTTAAAGCACCCCCTCCCGACTCCACTACGTCTAATTGTCCCCCTAGTCACCCCCAACTTCTATTTTACTGTATCCCGTACCCAAGCAAGGTGGGGATTATTCCACCAATGCTGTGTTAATAGAGCAGTACCTTCTGCTCTATACTTGCAAGTACATTTTACATATTTTACTATTTTTCCTTTATATATAGTGAAAGCACTATTGCTGTTTTTTTATATATATCCTGGAACCTTGAAAAATCAGACCGGATTGACGGACGCACCTCTCCACTATATCCTTTAGCGGGGATCATACAGCTACACTCCTTCCACCCCAGAGCTGGTTAGAGCTCTCTCAAATGTGAGTTTACTACCTTTAGTTTACTCATTTTATCACTGGATCCTGGCTATATCACACTATCAGCTGTTTTGTCGTTTCCCCTTTGTCTCTCGACATATACGGATATTTTAGGGAGACTTATAGGGTACAAAGAAAATATATACAAAAAGAATAGTGAAAGACTAGTATTGTCTCAGCTAAACTAATAAATGTAAGCAGGGAAGATTGGCTATTTATCCTGCTGCAATGTGTGCTCTTACTGCTAAGATCGATAATGAAACACTGTAACTGTTTCTCTGAGACACTGATCGTGAAAACAAAGTATCAGATTAGTCCATATTTCTGAAAGATTTGAATGACAGTATAACGTGGATAGCAGTAGCTGGATCAAAATTAGCTAAGTAAGTCAGACTAACTAGAATAGAATGATATAAAGCTGGTACTAGCGAGTCTTAGAATTTAGCCAAGTCAAAACACAATTTGCCCAGACATATACATAGTGTATCTGTCCCAATGTTAAATGATACTCTGATTGAGACAGTAGTACAGAGCCTGACACAATCTGATGCCTAACCAGCACTTAACGTCTAAACAGTGCCTTTAAGCGGCGCCAAAGTCTACTGTCAGACCTGAATACATAGCCGGAAAAATTATAGAGGAAACTGATAGCCCAGGGTGGTCAGGAAAATAGCCTTGTCAAATAATTTACTGATCTGCCCTGGACTAAAAAAAAACTAAAAAGGACTAAGTTCCTGCGGCATCCCACAAACAATGGTGATGTAGATCAGGTTGTGGTGTGGGAAACTTGTATAGGGTAATTAAGATAATTAAATTTATCTTAGTGTATATGAGTAATACACTCCTCAGGGCTAAGCCAACAAGAATTAGCACAAGTTTCTGGATTAATACCTAAGATATTAGGTAAATACACCATATCCAAAATAACCAAAAAGTAACGTAATGGGTCAATGGGTGTTGAGGTGATACCGAGTAAGTTGTAGTGGAGTCAGATCTAGAGGTCCAAATGTAAAGAAATTATTCTTAATAGAATGGATTATAATAAAATGGTGCTGCGAGGAAACAAAATGACATTATTTATGAATGGAGTATAGTTGTATTCTTCATTCAGACCAGAAGGTGTCAGTGTCTTAAATTTAAAAATCCACTGTGACTCTTTTTGTAATAAAAGTCTATTTACATTTCCTTTTCTTGGGTTTGAAAGAAGCTATTATACAGTCGTAGCACGCATAAGGTTTTGCAAAATATACTGTGCAAACTCACTTTGTGTGTCAAAAAGGTAGAAAAAATGCTTAATACCACTATGTGCTTGGTAGGGACAACTCATCACCCTGGATCGAAATGTTAGACATGCTATCAGGGCCGGTGCAAGGATTTTTGCCGCCCTAGGCAAAACAAATTTTGCCACCCCCCCATATGCCCTGCCCACCATGTGACATCACAATGCCCCGCCCATATGCTCTGCCATATGGGCCAACTTCACAAAGTGTCTTTTATCTGAAAAGACAGTGTGTTTACATTAAAAAGCCTACAGGCTGTAGACACCAGAACCACTGCATTATGTTGTAGTGCTTCTGGTGACTATAGTATCCATTTAATGTGAGGTAAATTAGAGATTTAAAAACGGCTTATATACTTACGGTCAAAATAACTTTAGACGAAATTCACAAACCACTTACACACATTGGGAATTCAGCTGACCGCTTAGCTCTCACGAATGAGCATACAAAACGAACAATGTACGAAATTTGACTCAAACTGAGTCTTAAGCTACACCGCCATCCACTGGCGGAAAGCAGTCAAGACAGCCACAAGGGTTAGCAATAATAAGCCTTCAACAGTCACTAAAACATTCATGCTGATTGTTTCAGTTGTTGTAGACAAACTTATATTGTGCTTAGACTCTTAGGCTTTGGTTAAGTAAGAAATGACATTGTTTTTGTTTTATGGTAATTGATGTTTGCCATACTCTTTGCACAGGCTGATTTTATGACAGATTGTGACCTTTTTCTCCCTGACTATTCATGATCGGTTATAATCTCAAATCCTATAAACCATTCAATAATGACTATAGGAATTAAATCCCTCATTAGGTCTTAAATTTAGATATTGTCCTTATACAATGTTTTCATTACGTACTGCTATCAACATAAAATACTATTACCACCCAGACGGGTACGTACACTCTTGAGTCTACGAACAAACCTGTAAATGTCAATCAGTATGTCACAAACATAGTTACACCGTCATGCGGGTATAAAACTCTTAAAAAAATCATGTCATAATTAATATAAGATGCTTAAACCATTTAGGTGAACGCCTTATTAGGTCAAATAAGTTAACTCTCACTTCAAATCCCTTAACTCGCTAGCTCCAAGACACCAAAACACTTATTAAATAATTTCCTTAAGTGGTATCTCCTTAGTCCCCAATTTTTCAGGTAGTATGACCATGCTGTGGGATCATATCTATTTAACCTCACTCTGGGACATGCACAAGCACACAGAATTCTGAATGCTTACAATGCCATTCATCACAGAGAACTGAACACATTTATGTCTTACAATTTACCAACCACTAAGTCTACACCAGTAGGGGGAGTTCTGACTATATATCCATGTTACATCAAGTTAGTCGTCATTGGAAGAAGTACTCAGTTCTACTTATACCATGCAGTGAGATTTACCAGCTTAAATATTGTATCTTCCTGCTTAAACCATTTAGGTGAACTCTTTCATTAATTACGGGTGCAATACAGGCAATAGTACTGATCATCCTTCTGTCACAAGTATACTATGTTTCAAATGTCAGACAATGTCAAACTCGCATTAGGCAAGTTCTTAATACATCAACTACCAATCAAACATGTCTACGTAAATCAATACAAATGCGAGTCAGGATAAGCCATTAACATGTCTGCTAAATACTCACTCCACCGCCACACATTAATTCAAACCTTTGACAATTGCTAAGGACTTAACGCCGCACATCGGACCCTCACAAGGTCCTCCATGAGAATTCAATTATACGTTACGCATTTTTAATGACATAGTTATGACAAGTTACTTTACGCGTCAAACTATCCATTGGAATATTGACTGTCATGCTGTTTTGGTTTAGAAGTGTTACACATGTAGGCATCTTAGGACACAGTATATCTGTGATCCAAAGTCTAACATTTATAACATTTTATCATACCGACTCATACAACCTGTAAGTCGAACCACAATCGGACACTCCTCTTCATTTTCAGCTTGTAAAGTGCACATTATCCCTTCTAATAATAATAATAACAGCATTTCCCTTCTAAATTCTTTCGGTCCAATTGTTAGGGTCATCAGGTACCTGTTCCAGTCCTTCTCTCTCCAATTCTATCCAGGTTGTTCACGCACACATGATTACCTTTACAACCATTCTACGAGGCCAACTTCCCACCTCTACACAGAGATTTGTCCAACGGCCCAACTCATAGTTAGTGCCTTGCATACTCTTCTACAGGGTTACAGTCAGGGCCTCACATGTCATGGCCACTAGTATTGACTCTTTTACAGCCACCTAGAGTCCAACAACCCGCTACAACGCATTGTAGCCACTAGCCCACACAGCCCAAATCATAGGTAGAGCCTCTCACTTCACTTGGCAACTAGCAGAGCCTCACCGTTCACTAAGTAGTTAATATTTTCACTTCTCGGCACTTAGTTACACAGTTACATAGTTACATAGCTGAAAAGAGACTTGCGTCCATCAAGTTCAGCCTACCTCACATTTGTTTTTTGCTGTTGATCCAAAAGAAGGCAAAAAACTCAGTTTGAAGCACAATTTTGCAACAAGCTAGGAAAAAAATTCCTTCTTGACCCCAGAATGGCAGTCAGATTTATCCTTGGATCAAGCAGTTATTACCCTACATTGAAAGATTGTATCCTTGAATATTCTGTTCTTGCAAGTATGCATCTAGTAGCCGTTTGAACATCTGTATGGACTCTGATAAAACCACTTCTTCAGGCAGAGAATTCCACATCCTGATTGTTCTTACAGTAAAAAAACCTTTCCTTTGCCTTAGACGAAATCTTCTTTCTTCCAGTCTAAACACATGGCCTCGTGTCCTATGTAAAGTCCGGTTTGTGAATAGATTTCCACACAATGGTTTGTATTGGCCCCGAATATATTTGTATAATGTTATCATATCCCCTCTCAGGCGACGTTTTTCTAAACTAAATAGGTTTAAATTTGTTAACCTTTCTTCATAGCCGATATGTTCCATTACTTTTATTAATTTTGTAGCCCACCTCTGCACTTTTTCCAGTGCCATAATATCCTTCTTTAGAACAGGTGCCCAAAATTGCACAGCATATTCAATATGGGGTCTTACCAGTGATTTATAAAGAGGCAAAATTATATTCTTGTCCTGAGTATGAATGCCCTTTTTCATGCATGACAATACCTTACTGGCCTTGGCCACTGCTGATTGACATTGCACATTGTTGCATAGTTTGTTGTCTATAACAATTCCCAAGTCCTTTTCATGTGTTGTTATCCCTAATTCCATTAAGGGTATACGTTGCTTGTGTATTCTTTACGCCGAAGTGCATAACTTTGCATTACTTGCACTATTCGCATCAAACTAGGCATAAATTCCCTTACAACAACGCTAAACACGCCAACTGGTCATCCCAGGTCCCCGGTTGAAGCGTCTGTCCCTGACACCTCCAAGGCCTTGGACTTTGCTTAAGCTTGACGGTTGAGCTTATAGTGTGGAAGCACTATCATCCAGTCCACGGCTGAAAGACTGCATATACCCCGAACAAGCTGTGTATGCCCTAGAACGGCATACGCCAGTAGTTCAGTTAACTCACTATAATAATCAGTCGATGTCAGTCAGCCATAGCATAATTTCCCACATTTGGTCTTCCCTAAGCATTTTGATTTATCACCATACAAAAGCATAGTAGTGCCCCATATAGCCAGGTGTCGCAACAAACTGGATTAAAGTATCATCATTCTCAAAATCGGTGATATACACTCGGTTAAACAACGCTAATCTTAACTGATATAAACGTGGATTTAATTATAATGGTCATTGTTGTTGCTTACTTCGAATATGTTTGGAGCACGTCACAACAATGCCGGAATTATCAGCAACGTTACGTTCCAAGTAAACACTCTCATCTTCTCCAACGCCACTGCTCCCTTATCCGCCACTGTGCTATACAAATTCATGTTAGACCAACACAGGCCCATGTATCAGGTAATCACTTGCCAACTATACGATCTTGTTACAGGCTCACATTTCACATACAATATATAGGTGTAACGGATGGGGCCAGTTACATAGCTAGCCTTCTCTGGACGATGAGGCGGATCTCCTCCTCCTCATGGTTCATTCATTCCATGGACTGATCCATCTCGTCCAGCTCTAGCAGATCAGCAATCAGCTCTTTCTGGGGT